TTAAACAGTTCTTAAAATCTTCTCTGCTGTGGCTGGCTCGTTGGTGCTCTTGCCGGGGGGGACCTCAATGGAAATGCAGATGACATCCCTCTTTCAGGTGGGTCTTCGGTGAATATCAGGGTAATTCTTGCTTCATGAAATTAATTCAGGAGTTTCCCATCCTTTTCTATATTATATAATAGTTAAAATAGAACTGGTGTCAGCTCTTCTGTAAATGTTTGGTAAAATTCACCAGTAAAGCCATCTGGGCCTGGATTTTTTTAGTTGATAGTTCCTTAATGACTTGATCAATTTCTTATCTTGTTACAGTCCTGTTTAAGTTTTCTACTTCAGTCTATTAATTTAGGTAAGATTGTGTAATCTAGAAATTTGTCCATTTCTTCTAGAATTTCAGATTTGATGGAGTACAGTACTTCATGGTGTTTGGTTATTGTCCTTTTTATTTCTGTTGGTTCTGTTGTGCCGTGACCCATATATATCTTATTAGTTGTATTTGCATTTTTTCTTTTGTTAGATTTGCCGATGGCTTGTCAATTTTATTAACCCTTTCAAAGAACCAACTTCTTGTCCTATTAATACTTTCTATTGTTTTTATGTTTGCTATTTCAGTTTTTTCTGATCTAAACTTTATTATTTCTTTGCTTCTGGTGGAAGTAGACTTACTTTGCTGCTCTTTTTCTAATTATTGGAGATGTTGAGTTAAGGTGCTGATTTTGGTTCTTTCTCCTTTTGGGATGTGTGCATATATTGCTATAATTTGCCCTCTGAGCACTACTTTGTTGTGTCTCAAAGGTTTTGGTAAGTTGTGTTTTTGTACTTACTTGATTCAAGAAATTTTTTAAATTTCTTTTATTATTTGAGCTATTATTACCCGGTAGCTTTTGAGCAATGGACTCCTGGTGTGGTGCTGTAGAATTAGCACTGGACTGTGAACCACAAGGTTGGCAGTTTGAACCCACCAGCTGCCCCTTGGGAACCCTACACAAGGTCTATATGAGTCAGAATCAACTTCAGCACAAGAAGCTTTTAAGAAGGGTGCTGTTCAATTCCCATTAATTAATTTTCCTTGATGTTTCTGTTGTTGATTTCTAATTTTATAGCATTGTGATCTGAATAGATGCTTTAAATTTTTTTTTGAAGTTTGCTTTGTGGTCTAACATCTATTCTGGAGAATGTTCCATGTGCACTGGAAAGCAATGTATATTGTGCTGTTTTGGATTGAGTGCTCTGTATATGTCTGAGGTTACGTTGGTTGATTGCATTGCTTCATTCTTCTGTGTCTATGTTGAACTTTTTTCTAGTTGTTCTGTCCTTATTCAAAAGTGGTGTATTAAAATCTCCAACTATATTGCAGAGTTGTGCATTTCTTTCTTCGGTTCTCTTAGTTTGATTTATGTATTTTGAGGCTCTTTCATTTGGAGGCGTAGATACTTATTATGGTTATGTCCTCTTGTTTAATTGACCCCTTAATCATGATATAATGTCCTTCTTTGCCACTTCTGCTGTTTTTTTTTGCCTTGTTGTTGTTGTTAAGTGCTGTCGAGTCGCTTCCAACCCATAGTGCCCCTGTATAGGGTTTCCAAGGAGCAGCTGGTGAGCTTGAACCACTCACTTTGCAGTCTGATGCATTAGCCAACAACGCCACACCAGGACACTGGTTTTTGCCTTAAAGTCTATTTTATCAGAGATTGAAATTGCCACTCCTTCTCATTTTTGATTGCCATTAACTTGATATATTTTTCAATCCTTTAATTTTTAGCCTATTTATGTCTGTGTGTTAGGTGTGTCTCTTGTAAACAGCATTTTAAAGGATCCTGTTTTCTTACCCATTCTGCTACTCTCTGTCTCTTGACTGGCGCATTTAATCCATTTACATTCAGTGTAATTATCCATAGGTATGGATTGATTGTTGTCATTTTGCTATGTGGGTTTTTGTTTTGAGGTGCTGCTGGTTTCTTTGTTCTACATAATTTACTGTTGTGAGTTCACTTTTTTGTGTGTATGGGTTTTCATTTCTGTTGTATTAATGTTTACTAAATCTTTCTGATTTTCCTCGTTTATATTTTGATGTGAAGATGTATTCGTTTTCTTTGAGGTTACCCTGTTATTTATTAATTTTTTTCCCCACTTAAAGCAGTCTATTTTATCTTGAAATCTACTTGACTCCCTCACCATTTAGAGGTTCTGTATCTACACTAATCCCTCTTTTTCTTTGTAGTTTACTTCATTATAAATTGTTATCTCTGGTTTTCTATATTCAGTCTTGTAGGTTTATTTTACTTTAAATACTTCAATATCTGGGTTGAGTTCTGGGTGGTGTTGTCATGTATGTTCATCTCAGGTTGTTGTCTGCTGTTGTTGATTCTCAGTCCAAAGAACCACCTTTAAATTTAGTATTTTTTATAAAGTTGGTCTTGTTATTACAAATTCCACTAATTTCTGTTTACCTGAAAATGTCTTAATTTCATCATTGTATTTGAAGGACAGTTTTGCTCTGTATATGATTCTTGGATGGCAATTTGTCCCCCCGAGAGTTTTGTATCTGTCACCCCATTGACTTCTTGCCTGCCTGGCTTCTACTGAGAAAGAAACCATGGTTCTCCTTTGTAGGCAAAGTTTCATTTTCCCCAAGCTGTATCAGGATTTTTCTTTTGACTTTGGTTTTGGAAAGTTTGATTATGCTATGCCTTATTGGGTTTCTTTTGGGATCTATCCTGTTTGGGGTTTGTTCAGCTCTCTTGTATGCTTTTCTTCTTGTTTCTCATGATGTTAGGGAAGCTTTCTTCTGAGGAAAACCTGGTGTATAGTGTTGCTTTTTGTTTTGCTCTTTTAAAGCCGGGCTATTTGTGTCTGTAAACAAGTACTTGTTGAAATAGTAGCGCAGTCAGTAAAATCCATCAGTAGTGGCCATGGATTGGTGTTTTTGATTTGTACTTTTCATATACACGTTTGGTTTTATGGTCACAGAAGAGAGAAGAATAAGGAATTTGTATCTAACTTTGTATTTGTACATATTTAAATAATATCACAAAAATATTTTGAAGTCAGCAGTAGGGACTCACAATATATTTTTTCTTTCTCCGTCTTACTCATGTACATAATTTAGTGCCTAGGAAGTGAGGGATGCAGGCAGGGGAACTAGGAGAGACCAGCTATATCAGTCCTGACAACTCATCATTCCCTCAACAGCCGACTGCACCTCAGTTTCGGTAGATCTTTGTTTCCTTAATATAACTTCCTCTTTTTATTTTAACTTGTTTGGGTCTCATCTCCTTGCAACTCTCACCATAGTCTGTTTCTTCTCTTCAACCTGACTCCAAATCCTTAATTTGATTGTGGAGAAAAGACATAATGGGTGTGTGACAAAAAAGTCTAAGCAGAAAGAAAGCAAGGCAAACCAGTGAATTTGAAAAAATCAAAACAGACCAGACAGGTATAAAGGATGAACTGGCAGAAACCACCGCAGGGAGGAAGTGAAGGAGGAAGGGTGGGTGTATACAGAGATAAAGAGTCAACAGATTTTGACAGGACACTTTCTGTGGTCCTATTACAGTCTTCAAATGTATGCTTACAAAATGTAAATGAAAGAATGAACAAACAAATGAATTTTCTGAATCCTCTTCACACAAAGTGCTAGTCTGAAATTGCGGTGGGTAGACTTGGGGATAGTAGTAAAAACCCTTTGTGGACATGGCCTTGGATGTTTGTTTATTGTCTGTTACCCATTTCCCCCTTTTGTGTGTCAAATGGCCCCTCTGGACTTCAGCCCCGACCCTCTCTATGCCTCCTTCACTTCACATATGACTTTTTGTACTCTGGTGGTGGTGATGGTGTGCCGTGCAATTGGTTCTGACTCAAAGCAACCCTGCATAGTCCAAGGCTATAAAGTTTCATGGGAGCAGAAAGCCTCATCTTTCTGCAGCGGAACAGCTGGTAGCAAAACTTTATTCATCAGATGAAGAAATAAATGGCAGGAATAATAATAATAGTAATAGTAAAGCCTACATAAGTTCTATGATTAACAAAATACTTTCTCTGACTTTTCAAATTTGAATCTTGTAACAAACCTGTGAGGCATTTGAGGTAGTTCTTATCACGAGCCAGTTTTGCAGGGAAGAAGCATGAAGCCAAGAGGGGTTAGGTGACTTCATCCAAGGTCATTAGTTTAGGACTTAAGACTCCAAGTACTGACTCCTTCTAACACTTCAGAATTTCAGTAAAAGAAGAGTCAAAATAAGAAAATAGAAATATCTTTGTTAGAGAAATGGCTTCATGATAAGAAACTGACTTCCAAAAAGTTAAGAACGAGTATGGCTTCTGGGGACCATGTGAACATTTCTTAATATCATGGGAGTGTTAGAACAATCCATCACAAACAAAAATGATTGTTTGTTTTATTAAAAATCTATATTGCTTAGTTAAAAATTAATTCACTTCTACCACTCTCACAATATATCTACAAGACAGAAGATACAGTAGCTTTCTTCACTTTCCCAAAAGGAAAATAAGATTAAAAAGAAACAAACGACTCATCATCACTCCTTTTTACAAACCAACCAGCGCTTCCCTAATCTCTTCACTGCTGCCTGCATCTCCTGGTTCCTCAGAGTGTAGATCATGGGGTTGAGCATGGGCGTCATGACTGTGTGGCTGATGGACACAGCCTTGTCCATGGAGAATGGGGTGAATGGGCGTGCATACAGGTAGATACTTGGAATGAAGA